GTTCGTTCCGAAAAAGCGAGTTCCGAGATGTATGACAAAAATGCATGACAAATTGAATGGGGCCACAAGATTAAGGCGACAATTATTCTGAATTATAGAAATAGAAAACATCCGCTCATTTTTTTTGAACCATTGACAGCCATATCAACATTAGCTAGCATAGATATTACTCTTATCGTTCAAAAAATTAAAATTTCCCCATTAACGAAGGATTTCGGAAGGACGCTTAAGTATCACACAAAAGCGTAGCTGCTTTCGATTAGCATTGATGTTCGTGAATAGAGATGGGACAATATGCACAGTGTACTGTAGGTTAACATTACGATTTATTCAGAGTTGCATTACGTTTAATAGCTTAGCATTCACATACTAAGGACTACCCTCGCTCTATAAGCAAACGAGTTTTTCATAAAAGATACGTACATGGAAAACAGTTCCGTACACAAGATACAAGATTGTTAATCTTATAGCTCTATCCATGTAGTAACCCTAGTAGTAACTTATAACCTTAGCACAGACAATCAAAAGGTTTATTTAGCAAAGGAATTAGTAAACTGTTACTGTCAAATTCAATGACCAACATACCTATGTACCTAGTCGGGTCATAAATTCTGTCACATGTTTAATATGAAATAATTGAAACAAGTTTATTCATTATGTAACCATTTATATACCAAAATGAACTTAACAAAACATAGATTCTTATGACCATAAAGTTTATTGAAAATGACCTCCGTGATTTTGAATACAGGCCTTCAATCTGCGCGGCCAGTCGTCTATCGCAGCACGAACGAGGTCCATGTCAATATCGGCGGCTGCCTTAATGAAGGATGTCTTGAGTGACTCCGAATTGGGATGAGGCTTTGAGCACGAATTTTCCTCCAAGTGTTGCCATATCTTGGAATCTAACAGACTCAAATCTGGACTGGAGGAGCGCCAGTCTTCGTGCCGGATGAAGTTGATTTCTATCAGATTTTCTCAGTCTTGTGTGCTCTTCGCTCTATGAGCTGGCGCCGAATCCTGTTGGAATACCCAGTGCCTGTTATTGAACATGTTATGAGAAACAGGTTCCACAAGGTTCAGGACTGTATTTTGATACACAACTGCATTCGTTTTTACACATTTCTCACAAAATGGTACCTCTGTTAAGCCTCAATAAGAAACTCCCAACCATACCATGAGCGAGGATGGAAAATGACCTCATTGGACACGTGGAATACGGTTGTTCGCTTCTTCACTACACCTTCGTTCACCTTATCATTTTGATTGTTGTAGCTGTCTTCTACGGTAAAAATTTTTTCATCCGAAAAAAGAATTTCCCGATATTTTTTTCCCGCGTACCGCTTCAACAAAGCGCGGCATCTCTTCAGTCTCAGGTCCATTAGACGAGCATTCAAACGATGTCCTGTTTTTCTTCGATATGCCTGAATCCCTAAGTCTTCATTTAACACCCTTTTCACCGTGGTTCTCCTTAACACCATCTGAAGGGCGAACAGTTTCTGCTTACGTTTGGGATTTCATTGAATTCGTGCCTTCACAGTTTTTATTACTGCTGGAGTCCTAACAGATCGATGGCGACCACTTCTTGACCTGTCATCTACACTAGAGTCTTCATTGTATCGTTTGATGGTACGATAAACGAATCTTTTGGTTATATTCAAAATTTTCAGTATGTCAAAAATTTTAATTGGCGCGTAACCGCAACGATGCAACGCAATAACTGGAACACGGTCTTCTTTAAGCGTCCACTCCATATTTAAAAATGAGTAAAATTCTAAAAAGTATACATTTTTATTCTCATGAACAATTCGAAATTTGAATTCAATAAACTTTTTTGTGGCCAGCATTCTAAAAGAAAAGTTTTTTACTGTGTGACAATACTTATGACTTGACTGATATATATGGACAATATTTCTGCCGTCCTGAAACTAAAGTGCGGCTAAGTGACATGTGATCGATTTTCAGTCTTAAATTGCATCTTAAACAGTTGTGTTTAATTCTGTATCGATCTGTCTTTAACAAGAATTCGTATCTTTTATAGTTTAAGTCTAAAAATTCGTCGTGTGATGAATGGTTACAAAATAGCAATAATTTAAAGTTTAAGGATTCACTTTTTTTAACTTCTATATCAATTAAACTTTACCTTTTATAGCTGACTTCATGCAAAATTTTATAATCAGTGCTGATAAAAGATGGTGTTGATGTTTCCTACATCGTGATAATGTTTACGATTGTAATGTTTATGTAGCTTCAATAAAGGGATTCCTGAGTTTAAATAAATTGTTAATTGTATGCTTTGAATGATATTATTCGCACTGCACCGGAACGGTACGGTTTATTACAATTATTCAAACAAAAAACAATTGTCAAAATCGGAAAAAAAATACTGAAAAGTTGTTAATGAATTTTGTAAAATGACGAACCCACAATTGTTTTTTTCCAATAACTCTAGACTATCAGAGACACAATTAAGATTGCTTCCAGTAGTTCTATTAGTTCATTCATTTTTAGTGGGTTTTTTCTCAACTGTTTCCTGGAACTGCGAAGCTATTGAAAACTTCGTCCACTCATTTTAAGTAATTGATATTCTAGTCCCATACGCATGTCAAGTCAAATAAATTGAATTAATTAACTAACCATATTACATCTTATTTCTATATAACGTAAAGTAAAATGTTTTTTGGCGTATTTGGAGGAAAAAAGGGTTTACAATTGATGTTGACATTGTTTTGGTTTTTCCCGTCGTAAATATAATTTTGAGATTTTTCGATGGCGGGTCGTTATGTTCCCTATGAAATATGTCTAGTTATACCTATTATAAATAATACCATATGTCTTATACTTTCAATCAAAATGCAAGTGAACAATTATTGTATGTTTTTTACTTTATATAATGGAAGGCGACTTCCATCTCATATATATTGAAGTAATTTTTTCAAACTTGACGAATCTGTATATAATGCGGGAGAAAAAACAGCCCTTGCTGAATTTCTTGTTGGTTCTTCTTAGTACAAGGTCTCTCACCGTAAATTTACGAACTGATGGCGTAGCTTCTACACATTCATGAGTGCTTGTAGCAGCCCAAACCGAATGAATGATTTTAATCTGTTCTAAAATTTCAGAAATTCAAAATCTCACATTTTAAAATTGAAAATTAAGTAACATCAAATAAAACTAGTTTAAACGGGATAATGCACGAAACTTTATTAATTTATTGACGTTTCGTAGCCTTTCCAGGCTTCGTCGTCAGAATAAAACTTTTGTTTAATTTGTCGAGCTACCTTCGAAAGACTTTTATTGAGCGTTTGGTTATTTCATTGTTCGATTTTTAAGTTTTATTGTCCTATGTATGAATTTATTATTTAATTTACTTAATAAAGTATTTTATTTAAAATTCTTGTTTGTAATTTTGCGTTTATTTATTTGACCCTAACTACCGTAAACTACCACCGGTTCCAAAATTGGGAGACCTTCCTGAGAAGAACCGGCGAAACAAACTCAAGAGAGGCTTTCTATATTTTTCTTAGAAAGCCTCTCTTGAGTTTGTTTCGCCGGTTCTTCTCAGGAAGGTCTCCCAATTTTGGAACCGGTGGTAGTTTACGGTAGTTAGGGTCAAATAAATAAACGCAAAATTACAAACAAGAATTTTAAATAAAATACTTTATTAAGTAAATTAAATAATAAATTCATACATAGACAATAAAACTTAAAAATCGAACGATGAAATAACCAAACGCTCAATAAAAGTCTTTCGAAGGTAGCTCGACAAATTAAACAAAAGTTTTATTCTGACGACGAAGCCTGGAAAGGCTACGAAACGTCAATAAATTAATAAAGTTTCGTGCATTATCCCGTTTAAACTAGTTTTATTTAATGAGTGATGTGCGTGAAAACCTAAGAAACAAATTAAGTAACATCGCTTCAAGTAGAAAAATCTGTCACAGGTGCAAAGCAGCACATATTTTTTTTATGTTAAACGAGTGGCAAACAGGCATATGGCCTGCCTTATGGTAGGCGGCCACCATAGCCTCTAGAAGATTGCGATATTAAAAACATTACTCGCACTGTTGCCTACCCTGACCCAATCCCCTATCCCGTGGAGCTCTGAAACCTTACTCACCGCTAGAAACACAAAACCATCATAAGATTGTGTTATTTTACTAAGATCTACTGTAAAATGGAGGTTACTTCCACAGACGGGAGCTCCAATTCTAGAGGAAAATCCGCTATACCCTACCACTCTTTTTACTGTGGTCTCCGAGATGAGCTGGTAGCTAAAATAATATGATAAATAGCCATTTGCGATCTGCAATAATACTGAAAAACTTTTTAGACAAAGTTAAAAAGTTATACATGCGACATTATTGGCGTTGGTAAAATATAAACGACCATATAAGAGCGAGTTAGCTTCAGTTTATCATGTAACATTCCTTTAATAAAAAACAAACTGGGAAACTATGTAAATCCTAGGTAATAAAATAAAACTTTGTTTAGGTCTTATATGAAAAGATGCAGATGTTCTTAAAGTTATATCTGTGAAAGTTTTTGTATTTAAATGTGTTTTACTTAATCACGTAAAAACTACTTCCCGGATTTGGCATTAAGACTTCTAAATAAGTGTTTTATCAGGATGTTTGTAATTTTTTGAAATAATTTTAAAGATTTTAGGTATAAACGATTACAGCAAGTGTGGGTACAAGTGTAGATTTTCTGGAAGTTTTATCCCCATCAAAGTTTCCCTAGGGATTTTTTGAATTCTAAAATTCGATCTTATATACACGTGCTTAATATGAATCTCTTTGTCATTTACTCAACACCTATTCCGGATGCTAGGAGAGATAATTCGTTAGTCCATCTAAGAGGGAAGTAAAATGCTGATTGGATTACCGCATAATTTGGGGATGTTACCGACTCTAGTGGCAAATCTCAGCGAAGGGTGTCAAGAACCTTGAGCTACGTTCAAGTAAAAAGTGTCGATATGAGATAATCCGTGGCAATGAGAGAGCCGGGCTGCGTTTGCGCCTTCTGTCTGATAATATATCAGTTCGTAGCGGACCGGTGCTACGTACGCTCTGTCTACGCGATATTTGCCGCTTTACATTTTTCGTTTAACAAACTAACGATTTTCGATGTCTTAAAATTTTATTAACATCAAATAATTTTCGTGAAACTCTCGTTGATAGATTTATTTTTGTGATTATTTTCTACTTATGGGAGAAGTTAAAAAAGTAAACGGCATCCCAGACATAATGAGAAAGTGTTTTAAAATGGGGATTTTCAAAAGTAAGTATTTTAACTTAGTAAATACAATATAATAATTATTTTTCACTTTCATGTTGCGATAAATTGATAAGGCCGATTATGATGATCCTATTATAATTAAATGATTCAGTCATTCTCTGCTGAAAGCTGTTTCATTTATTTAAGGTGATGCTTTTTCACCAAGCATCACCTTAAATAAATGAAACACAAGACTTGGGGCTTGCATTACAAAGTCTGATTATGAACTCCACTTACTAATATTATTGATATGTTTTTGTTTTTAAACTATGATTTATGTATTTCTTAATGTGAGAATTATTTATTTGGTTCTTAATTTTAGTCGGATAAATCGTTCAATCATTTTACTACTAAGTACTATTTTTTTTTTCACTAAATATATAGATCCGCATCGGAAGTGATTAGTAGGAACTTGAGCAAAACTTATTTGTAAATTAATAATGTTTCGATACAAATAACATATAGACATAATACATTCTAACTAATAAAATTATTGATAAATCAGTACGTTATATAAAAATAACAATGAACATGTTATACTAGATTTTATTTTTTCTTACAAATGTTTAACCTAACATGTACGTAGGTGGTTTATAATGGGTTCCCTCTATCTGGCAGAATCTTTTTACTCCGATTTTTTTGGCATAATCTTTCTTCGTCAATCTTTGAACATATATTTGTATTTTTTAAATATAATTATCGTTTGGCTGCATTCGAGTATTTATATGTCCAAATTCGAAATGGCATACTTTTAAGATGGCAGAATTTATTAATCATATTTACATTTGGCAAGATCTTATTCTGCATAATTTCGTTAAGAGTAGTCGGTGTCTGTAGGAAATGGGTTAGGTTAGGTCATGTTAGTGTTATCACCTTGCGGGTGCGCGACATGGTGCAGGAGTTTTGTCTGGTTTTTACTGTTCTGGTAGGGCCCTGTCCATTTCATCGAGCTTTAAAGCTGGGTGAAATGAACGGGGGGGAGTCCTGGATACCTTCTTCATGCTCCCCCAGTTGCTTAAACACGAGTAAGGCATTTCTCAGACATAAAAAAATGGTTAGGTTAGTGTAGTGACCTAAACTTAGCGCCAGCCACATGATAAGTATATAATAGATAAATAAACAAGGAATTTAATATTTTTACACCAAAAGACGATTCTGACTGTAAACTTTCTGCGATATGATGGATCTGCTTTTTAATGTGGAGAGTATTAAATTTATGCCTTGCGATGATTCGGGCTGATAAGATTATGAGTTTAAATTTCAGATAAATGAGTGAATGCCAACTGATTTATTGCGAAGTGAAGATGAATAAATAATTACATGAAACGTGCAGCTGAAAATTATAACCAGTAACACATCCAATCTTAAGTACCTGTAATTATTATTCTCTTATATATAATTATCATTGTGCTGATAAAATTATTTCACGATATTTGTTAATTTTCCTATATTTTCCTGCTAGATACGTAATAAGTTAGAATGCATTATGTTTTCGAGATAAAAAAGCAAATATTGAAATTGAAGATAACACAAAATTTTACCGGCATGCGATGGTGTGTTGATTTTATTTTGCCTCAGTTCTCAATTTGCATGAATTGGTCAGTTCTACTTTATCTCAAATACCGTCCACAAATTCCAGACCAGTAGTCACAGCCAGTGAGAGGTAGGGTGTAGCAATCAGTGCGCGGCACGCATCAGCGAGATCCCACAATGCCTACTGGACAGCCTGGCTGCATTGTAGCCTACATTTGCACCGATTGCAATTTACATTTAGCAACCAGTCTGCTTTCGAGATCATTTAAAAATGTTAATTTCAAATTCAATATCATAACGATAATTAAAACCTGAACCACATGTCTCTTCTCTTAGGTATATCATATTAACATTTATCAAATGAATGAACAAATATGTAATGAACAAATGAAAGGAAAAATTTAATAATTATTTTTTTCTGTATAGTTTTCCTCTTATTATATGCATCATATTTGTAATTAACATACATTCATGATTATAATAATAAAGTTCAAACAATACTCCTTATGGAAAATGCATAAATTAATTTCGTATTAATTCGATCTCAGTTGAGAATCTAGTGAACAAAACCACATTCCATGATAGGGTATATCTGCAGTCAATGAATAACTATATCTATTCCTCTTGCTAAAATGTGAAAAATGTGTATTTCTGTTGTTTCATCAATATCCCTGAATATATTTTTCTGTCCTCAAAATTGGACTGTAATAAACTTAAAATTAGTTGAAATAGGCTTGTGTCATTCACTGGGGGCGTTGTATATAAAAAAGGTGTAACAATGTATTTTTAATACTTTTCTCATATTTAGAGGAATAATTTAACGGATAAGAAAAAGAGTTATAATCTAAAGAAAATATTACTAGAAAAAAAAACCACGTGGACCAGGCAGCAGTCGGGACTCGAACTCGCACCCTTCGCTATCCGGGCGATTGCACTGACTATTATGCTACCGCGGCCCTGATGGCCGTGTCGAATTCTTTCTTAAATTGCAAGGCAGCGCCATCTCTTCGCATTGTAGGTAACCCACAATGTCAAATGAATAACTTTAAAGTATTAAACATTTGAAAGAAGAAATAGCTATTATAGTTCTGTTCTGTAATTATACCGCCTGCTGCCTGGTCCGCGTGGATTTTTCTTAGTAATATTTTCTTTAGATTTAACCATCGAGCTGTTAAATGCTTAAAAAAATTATAACTAAATGAGTTTTAGTTAATAATTAATTTTAACAAAAAAATACAACTGTCCATGTTGGTCGAATGTAAATCAAGAACATAATAAAGTAAGAATTTCAGTTTTTCTCGACATAACACGGACATACAAACAAACAGAACGGAAGGAAACACATGAATTGATGGACGAGTAACTTCCGCAAAACTGTAAAGAATTCAAACCAGTTTCTAACTGTTCGTTCAATGAGATGTGAATCGATCTTTAATCAATAGCGAACTATTGAAATCCGGTAAATGACTAGGACTTCAATAAAAGCTATGTAAAAAAATCTACAATTAAAAACTATCATCTCTCAGTTTCTCTCAATATAAAACATTTATTTTAACACAAACTGACTCAAACTTAATGATCCCGTAGTTATTTTTCATCTTACTATTTGTTAGAATTTTAAGAAATCGTAATAAATTATTTTGAAGTGAGATTATAGAAATAACTCTCTATTTGTTGCGATGGGAACAGATTATGAGACCATGAAACAACATTATTCCAACCACTTCGTACTGAGTCTAACGAAATCATACCTAATATAAAAAACCGGCCAAGTGCGAGTCGGACTCGCGCACCGAGGGTTCCGTACAAACTCAATTTAATACCCCTACGCGGTCAAGAGAAAAGAGGTAGTAACTTTGAAAGGAGATTGGGCATCTAAGTATGGAGCTTGGGGACGAACTAAAGATTTTTGTACATCAATCAAATAAGCTTAAAAATATTGTTTATATTTAATAATTTTAGGATTTTTTTATTTCTTCAAAATCCGTACTCTCTGAGCAAAGTTATTGGACTTTAAAGAAATATATCTGCATAACGTCTTTTTACGATGCCCGCTACTATGCATCTACTCTTATCTTAATATTATGTACATACATACACATAATCACGCTCATAATCCTAGAAGGGGTTGAGCAGTGCTGCAGGTAACATTTGTTTACACATTTTATCATGTAGCATTACATCATTAGCAACAATTTACAAGGCAATAGCGAGAAATCGACTGACTGACAGATCTGAGTTCTGACAGTGATCACAGTGACACTAACATACACTGTTCACATTGACAGAACAACGGTGATTTTTCCGAAACGTATTGCTGGAACCCCGAGTAGGTATACATTCTTTTATTTAAGGATTTTGACGTGACAACGTCTTAAATTAGGTTGCGGCTGGGAGTCACATATGAAAAAGTGTAACGCTCGGTAACGTTACGATGAGTTTAAGTTTACATGTACAATGTTTTAGTAAACAAAATATATTTCTATAGTTAAAATTTGTGCAATTCTTATTTTCATTCAATTCCTTGTTCCTATTGTGCAATTTAATTATATTCATATCAATAAATATTCTACCGAGAAAAAGACGTTGTCACGTAAAATCTTCGCCCGTAAAACCGACTTTACAGGCAACCATTTTTTTGTTTTAATCGTTTTTTGTAAATAAATCATAATCACACGAATAATATGTTCTATTATTCTTTGTATATACGAAAATACATTTCGTATCTTGGACTAGTTCTAACAATGTTATAACAGGTTAACATTGGAAACCTAAGTTAACGTTTCGGAACGCGGGATCCGGATATCGCTTGGGGTGGCAAGACGACCGACGTCCCGTATAGCAACCGGCCACCAAGCACCGGGCGGGCTCATCACATAGGAAATCATTCTACATTTTAAAAATATCGCATATTTTTCTAAGAGTACGAAAATTGCTTGATGTAACTAAAAATTTACGGTTATCGCAATTTTTCCTTTATGTACTATAAGACGTTACTTCGTACCAAATTTCAAGATTCTAAGTTCACGGAAGTACCCTGTAGGTTTTGTTATTCGTGCGAGTGCGAAAATTTGCGGAAATGCGCGGCATAAACGGCTGTATCTTTTGATTGCTTTGGCTTAGGAGTTTGATTTTTTTACAGCTTCAAGAGACAGTAGACATGAGTATTAGATATGAATTTCAGTTCGATACTTCCACGCATTCTTGAGAAAAACGGTCTTGACAGTCGGACGGACGAACGGACAGACGGACAACAAAGTGATCCCTATAAGGGTTCCGTTTTTTCCTTTTGAGGTACGGAACCCTAAAATATACAAAAATATGAATTACTAAGTCAACAAAGTGGAAAAACTGAGACAAAAACATAGGAATTTAACTTTTCCATGTAAACACTACTTAAGAATTCAAAACCAACTATTATAATTAGTTAAGTACAGGCACTAAAATGTGACTTATCGCTGTTTCTACTA